TATTATTGGTGTATTTGATTTTCATAAAATTTCCCCACATCATTTCGTTTTAATGGCAGCCAAAGCTTCTCATTTTGAGGTCAAGCGTCTTCTATCCTTGTATCCTCCCAAATCCTGGCTTGTTTCATGCAGTGTCAGACATCTGGAAGTTCTCTTCTTATCCTACCAAGCCAAATATTATTTATTGTAATCATTCAAGGTTTATTGAATAAGTATACGTAAACAATGGCTGCCACAATCGACGACAAACGCAACCAATGTGCTTATGGGCACGTTCCACAGCGCTATACAATAGGTAATCAAGAAAAACATTTAATGTAAACAAGACATGTATGACCTACGGGAACAGTAGGTGAAAAGGGCCATGCGCAAACGAGCTGGCAATACAATTAAAAGACACGATAAGGCAATAAATGAGGCAATAAATTGAACTATCAGTGGTGCTTACAGAGCTCAACAAGCTATGACTATATAAAAAAAAAAATAATCAAAAACTAAGCTGCTGTTCTGGTATCTGAAACCCACAATCTTTTATTTTTTTTAATATATTTTATTTTTACTGTAAATAACAAAAAATAGCGATCATATTGACATGGTACATGTATTGTTTCGCTCTTAAAATTTGAATCGATTTCGATCGATGTTACATTTCAAATCTTGCCTCAGATGAGAATTACACAAGATTGTTAGACAGGATAGTTACAAAAATACTTTGAAATTATACATCAAACTAAGAAGATCAAATAATAATACATCAAATTTAAAGGACATCTGGAGTGACCAAGTGTTCGTTACTAGTGTGTGATATAAGTGGGAGTTTAACTTCCGTTACCATGACTTCCATATGTATGTGTATATTGGCTGTGATGCAGGAGTTGGTCACAAGATAGCCAGGGAGTGTCCCTCTACCCTGAGCCCACTCACCCTGTCTACATGGCTGCAGGGGTATCTCTCATATGCGTTACCCAAGGATGCCATATACTAGTGTATCTGTCCCGTTTACTCAATGCGTTCCACCTTTGGTCTTCTAGGACTCTGAATTGTTCCACTCTGACAGTCCTTCAGGGTTGGGGTTGCTTTAGCCCTCCAAAGCACTGTTATAACCGCCTTGGCTGCAGTGAGCAGAAATAAGGGTAGGGAGTATCTCATCTTAGGTAGAAAAATGTTGAATTTCAATAGCAATAATGTGTCTAGCCCATGTGGTATCTGTATGCCCGTAATGGCGGAACCTATTTGTTTCCTGAACTCCGTCACCTCCCCACTGGTCCACCATAGATGTATGAGATCCCCTCTGTTTCCCACACCTCCAGCATGTTGGGGAAAGTTCTGCATTAAATCGGTTCATATCTGTCGGTGTGAGGTACCATCCTGTTAGAAGTTTATAGTTTATTTCATGTAGGTGGACGCTAATGTGGGTATGGAATATGTCAACCCATTCTTTGTCGCTAACTGTGTATCCTAGGTAGTTTTCCCATTTCTGGGTGAAATAAGGGGGTGTGGGTAAAGTAGGGGTTGGAAGAGCTTAAGGCATTGAGATGTTGCCTTGGGTAGTGGCGTTGCCCTAGGACACAGTTGTACAAATTTAACGAGGCAGGGTCGTTGTCTGAATACCACAATCTTGGCTTTTTGTAGAGAAGAAGGTTTAAGGCAGAATGGACAGAGAAGGATAGAGATCCGATCCAAAGTAAAAAAAAAAAAAGTAATTAAGAGATCAGTACAAGAAAAAAAGAGGGGGAAAAAGTGAAACTCCCAAACAAAAAAGGAAGATGGAAAAGATCCCAAGTGTGGCTCAATTGGTGGAAACCAGCTAATTATCACCAGATAAATCTAAAAATCCAGATAATTAATGTATGGTTTGTTATTGTTGTTGTTGTTATTATTATTGTTATTTATATAGCGCCAACTAATTCTGGTATAGCTTCCCTCATAGCATGAAAATGTCAAATTTACAAGAATATAGAATTAGGTAAGGTTGTCCTGTAGACTATACTGTAAGAGCTAGGGACCCTATGTAAGTAGTCTGTAGTCATGCAGCATGAAAGTCCCATGTTACAGTCTTACATCAATCGTTGGGCCCTAGATAAAGACAAAGAGACCCCCATGAAGAGGATAAAGCCACCATGATCACCGACCCCCACACCCTATATGTTAAATCATCGTCGTTGAAAATACACATAGTGAATCTGTAACAATTGCTTACACTTGATCTCAGTGTCACAAATCCACCTTATTATTTAAGCGGATCTGTCACTTTTGGAGGTCTTTGGATATTGTGCAAAGACCCTAGGAAGTGACATCTTTGGTGATCGTCTGGTGCCGCGGGGGTCAGGGGAAGGTAGTTGTACTTACCTGAAGCTTTGCTCTTTGCTTTATGCATCCTTTCAGCTCCTGAAGGAGCCACATCAGGCTGTACTTCTGCGCATGTTCGAGCCCACAAGACCACAGGAACCTCCATAGATCAATGTCCAATCGCAGCAGCAGTCACAATTGACGGCTCTAGGATTCAGACAACCTTTGTCAACCTCAGATTTACTTTAAAGCACAAAGCAATCCATACTTTGGTATCCTTGGATTCTGTTTGAATTTCACTGAGGTTCCAATGAGTTCCAATGCAGTCAGGATCAGTATTTCATAAATATATCATTTCATAAAGATTGTATCTTTATGAAATACTGACAGGTGACTGGTTCTCCTGTAATTGTCATTTAATACAAAGATTAAAACCGCAAATCTACCTTATTTCATGGTTCAGATCTGAACAATTTATATTTCTAATTGACACAATGAAAATTTATTTTTGTTTTTATGCATCTTATCTATAATGTATTACAAATTGTGGGCCAGTTAAAGCTACAGAGGTAACCTTGTGGGATTGCCCTTGTGGGAATGTTTGGTAGTGGGAAAATGGCTGTGTCTCTATTAATATTTTGCCTTAATAATTGTTATATTTAGCTGTAGCCCTAAGTGTGTTGGAGAGCAAGTTAAAGGACCACTATAGTGCCCTGAGGGTGCCCCCACCGGCTCTGGGGAGAGGAAAGGGTTAAAACTTACCTTTATTCCAGCGCCGGGCAGGGAGCTCTCCTCCTCCCTTTTGGCTGAATGCGCACGTGCGGCAAGAGCTGCGCGCGCATTCAGCCGGTCTCATAGGAAAGCATTTATAATGCTTTCCTATGGACGCCTGCGTGTTCTCACTGTGATTTTTACAGTGAGAATCACGCAAGCGCCTCTAGCGGCTGTCAATGAGACAGCCACTAGAGGATTTGGAGGCTGAATTAAACCATTTATAAACATAGCAGTTTCTCTGAAACTGCTATGTTTATATAAAAAAAAAAGGGTTAATCCTAGAGGGACCTGCCACCCAGACCACTTCATTAAGCTGAAGTGGTCTGGGTGCCTAGAGTGGTCCTTTAAAGGAGCCCTTTCACTTCCCACTGTTCCTTCAATGGTTTAGCTACATCAGTTCCGGGACATTTCCAATCACTATATTAAAGCTGAACTGTCACTTCTAGTTACACCATTGACAAACACATTGAAAATCACCTCAATCCGGTTAACCTTAGATTTAGCAAGTGACATCACACATGTGTTTCTGAGCTTAAGGTGAAAGGTTAAATTGTCTAAGCAAGTTCAACAAGGACTTTTTAATAAGTAATTTATTCATGAGAACTAGTTTCCTTGCAGCTCATGGCTTGCCATGGCAGTCTCTCAGTGGGCTAAATTCCTTGATAGTCTTCTTAAACTATTGGAGTATGGATTATAAAAGAAATGTACAGTATTCTGCCTCTGTGAAGTTGTACCCTGTGTAATAGCGTTTGTTAGGACTATAAATAAAATGCTTGTCTTAAGATGTTGGACGTACTTTTTATTATATGGGGTAAAACTGTCATAAAGTTTATAGTACTGCATGTAAACCATTAGATATCTAGAATAATGTTAAATAAAGAAGATTTTATATATATGTGTATGTATGTGTGTGTGTGTGTGTGTGTAGTAGTAGTCTCTGACACACCAAATATTTTATTTCTGAACATTTTTATTTTAATATTCTGATCTAGGATAATCTGTTTGATTCTCGGAGGATCTTCCAGAGTTTGATTGCTTTTGCATCTTTAGAATTACCTTATATACTCGAGTATAAGTCGACCCGAATATAAGTCGAGGCCCCTAATTTTACCCCCCAAAACTGGGTACACTTATTGACTCGAGTATAAGCCTAGGGTGGGAAATGCAGCAGCTACTGGTAAATTTCTAAATAAAATTAGATCCCCCCAAAATTACATTAATTGAATATTTATTAGGGATCGACCGGTATTGATTTTTTTTAGAGCCGATACTGATATTCTGTGAACTTTCAGGCCGATAGCCGATATAATTTGCCGATATTCTGTACATTTACCATTTTGGAAAATAAAAACTATTTCTAAAGGTAAATGCACAAAATATACATGCCACGTGGAGTGGATGCAGTGTGACAGGGGAGCTGTGTGTGTTTGTGTAGTGTGTGTAGTGGATGCAGTGTGTGTTTGTGTAGTGTGTGTGTTGTGGATGCAGTGTGTTTGTGTAGTGTGTGTGGAGGATGCAATGTGTGTTTGTGTAGTGGATGCAGTGTGTATTTGTCTAGTGTGTGTAGTGGATGCAGTGTGTATTATTGTAGTGTGTATATAATGAAAGCAGAGTGTTTGTGTAGTGTGTGGGTAGTGTGCGTAAAGTGAATGCTGTATATACTAAATGCAGAGTGTGTGTGTATTTGTGTAGTGTGTGTATAGTGAATGTAGTGTGTTTATATAATGCAGAGTGTGTGTGTTTGTATAGTGTGTATATAATGCAGTGTGTTTGTGTAGTGTGCATTATATACACACACTATGCAAACACACTGCATTATATACACACACTACACACACACACTGCATTATATACACACTACACACACACACACTGCATTATATACACACTACACAAACACACACTGCACAAACACACACTGCATTATATAAACACACTACACAAACACACACTGCATTATATACACTGTTTGTATAGTGTGTGTATATAATGCAGTGTGTGTTTGTATAGTGTGTGTATATAATGCAGTGTATTTGTGTGCATTGTATACACACACACTATACAAACACACACACTGCATTATATACACAGTGTGTTTGTGTAGTATATATAATTGAGTGTGTGAGGGGGCATTTTTTATTAAATTATTATTTTTTTTTATATTTAATTAATTATTATTTATTTTTGTTGTCCCCCCTCCCTGCTTGTTACCTGGCCAGGGAGGGGGGATATGACAGTCCCTGGTGGTCCAGTGGCATTGGCTGAGCTTTGGGGGGGGGGCGGAGAGCAAGCGCTTACTCACCTCCCAGCAGCTCCTCCAGCTCCCCAGTGCAACTCTCGCGGTAACCCATGGCAACGCTCTGACGGCCGCGGGTCTCGCGAGAGTTACACTGGGGAGCTGGAGATGCTGCTGGGAGGTGAGTAAGTGCTTGCTCTCCGCCCCCCCCAGGACCGCCGGGCTTGTAATGAGCCTGGCGGTCCTAGGAGGTGGTATCGGCAATATCGGTATCTCTATTGGCCGATACCGATATTGCCGAAAATACCGAATATCGGCCGATTATATCAGTAAAACTGATAATCGGTCGATCCCTAATATTTATTTTGTGTATATAATGAATGCAGTGTGTGTGTGTGTGTGTATGAATGCTGTGTGTGTGTGTGTATATACTGCAGTGTGTTTGTGTATGTGATGCAGAGTGTGTAGCCTTGGTGGGGGGGTGGTGGGCATTTTTATTATTTTTTTAATATTATTATTATTTTTATTTTTTTTTAATATTATTTAATTTTAATTTTATTTTTTTCGGCCCCCCCTCCCTGCTTGATACATGGCCAGGGAGGGGAGATATAGCAGTCCCTGGTGGTCCAGTGGATGGGCTGTGCAGGAGGGGGGCTGGGAGCCAGCTGCCAGCCCCCAACAGGACCGCCAGGCTTATAATGAGCCCGGCGGTCCTTGTCTGTATTATGGCAATGTAAGTTGCCATAATACAGACACTGACTCGAGTATAAGACGAGTGGGGGGTTTTCAGCACAAAAAATTTGCCGAAGAACTCGTCTTATACTCGAGTATATACGGTATGTAATCATTGCAATTGCTTTTATAATCTAAACAACCATAATGATAATGTAGCTTGTCAAATTATGCTACACCTGCATTTTATTTTCCACTAAGCAGAGAATTTAAATCGAGATTTAAAGGAACACTATAAGGCCAGGAACAGACATGTATTCCTGACCCTAAAGTGTTAAAAACATCTGGCCTGCCCTCCCTCACCCTAAATATAGTAAATCTTTACCTTTATTCCAGTCTGCTGCTGCTGGCTCTGCCCCGATCTTGCTGCTTGGCTTACATCATCAGAAGTGTTGATCTGAGCCAATCATAATGCTTTTACATAGGAAGGCATTGGATTGGCTGAGCTTGTCAAGCTCAGCCAATCTAATGTATCTCTATGAGGAAAGTTCAGTGTCTCCATGCAGAAGGTGGAGACAGTGAATGTCAGTCACACTGTGCAGCACTGCCCTAGTAGCCATTTGAGGAGTGGCCAGTTAAGGTAATGCAAAAACTTAATTTTCTCTGAAAAGACAGTGTTTACTGCAAAAAGCCTGAAGGGAATGATTCTACTCACCAGAACAAATACAATAAGCTGTAGTTGTTCTGGTGACTATAGTATCCCTTTTAAGGCTGAAACAACTGAATTACAAAAAAAATCTCCAACTGTTGATTGCAATTATTTACCTACTGTTCTATAGTGACAGCTTGGCTACTTTAACTTGGATTTCACAGTTAAGTTTTCCCTACCATTTGATACAGTGTATAAATACCCATGTTAATATATTCAGAAACTGATAAACAGAGTTGCTCACAATATTGTAGCACTGTAGTGAAATAATAAAAAAAAAATTTTTTTTATATATATTCTGTGATTTCTTAGATTTTGTGTGATCTGAGTATATTGTCATTTAAGGAAAGAGGTTTAGAATGTGGCGAAACGCGTGGCACTTAGCTCACTGACAGCTTATTTTTATTTTGAGGGTTTTTTTCCTCTTCGGCAGCCAGGTTATCACAGAAAACACAAGTTTTAGATCTATTATTATTATTATCCTTCCAGTATTAAACCATAGCACTACATATTTAGAAAAATGTGTATAGTAAATAAGAAAATGCTTGCTTAAGTCCTTTTTGTTGTAAACTGATTTGTATTAAAATAAAAAAATAAAATACAGATACATTTTTTACAGTAACTTTTTTGTCAAAAGTTGTAAGATATAAGAAATTAAACTTCCTCTTTATAATATACACTAATGACCTTGTAATTTGTTATGAATAGATCTGCAAATATTTACATTTTAGGCAAACCTGCACTTTACACATATATATATATAAAAACTAAGTTAAAGATTGAAGGTTAACCTAAAAAGTCCTGATTTTTACTGGTGATGGAGATAAACATGTCGAAGCTAAGCACCATTTGATGTGATTTTTAAATACCGTATCGCTGTAGAATCTGGATATTGAGGAGTGAAATGGCTGAAGATCTGATTGCTGTTTTAATACTAGTACTGTTAGGTGATGCTGGAAGAGATCTTCATATTCTTTATGTATTTTTAGCTTATTTTTTTATTCCTTTATATGAAAATATTTTTATTATAAAATCTTCGTATAATGCCCCCTCCCCCCCCCCGGTTTCAATTAACGTTTAAATACCCCCACAGCAATTGGTTGCAAAGAGCAAGACATCTAATTTATTTTTAGGCTTTATTTCAGTGATATCCTAAAGGGGGAATCCATCTGTAAAACAATTCTTATGATGCTTCCGTTGTCGGTAGTAAGGGCATACTTTGTGTGCCGGGAAAAGTCTGGTTTGCCATAGAATGAATGGACTGCACACAGACTCCCTTCATACTAACTGCCACAAATAGCTGTTGTGCTTATTGTCCCTTTTTAAGGGTTAAACATTTGGCTAACTGTAGAAATGATGGTAGTCTAGTCTCTATCTGAACAGCCGAAACTTCCTTTTTGGCTGATAAGATTAAATGACCTCTATGAATAGCATGGTTTGTCCTGTTGCAGATGTAGAATATTGAGTAGTGTGTGCATTTTGCCCTGTGATGAATAAACCTGCAAACAACCTATTGGCACTAGATCTAGAGTGAGGGATGGCAGTGTTTGGTATAGTATGGCACCACTGTTGCAGTAGCTATGGGTGTTTGGCTTTTTACAAGCCATTGTGGTATGAATTTACTGTTTACATTATCTGGAAGTGTGACACAGTGCGTGACGTTAATCTCCTGCCCCACCCAATGCTCATATTAGCTCAGTCACACTTACTGGGCTCCTCTAGCAAACTTGGAGACATGCAGTCAGTCTTTTACTGTGCTCGGGTGCCATGTCACCATATTATTGTCTCCCCTAGCAACGGGATCCACAAACGTCTCTTTAGAACAGTTTGTGGCGTTGGGCCATTAAAATCCTAGTTCGTACTACTCACAGCTGTTTTTAATAATGGGATTTGCTGACTACATTGCAAATTTCCATTTTTGTAGACCGTTTACAGTCTTGTGCATTCAACTCTGACGTCTGTGAAAGTCCCTCGTCTGTGTGCCTTGAGAGGGCGTGAGGTCATTGGGTTGCAGTAAGCGTGATTCAGGCACAGTCTATGTGATGTAACTCATTGTAGTTTAAAGGAACTCCTTCTGTGCCAAAACCACGTTTCTGTAAATTGCAGATCCCAGTATTCTGTCATGTTATTCCATTGCAGTAGTAGAAAGAGGATCCAGGAACTCAAAGTATCTTCAAAAGTGTTTATTGGGATAAGTGAGACACTGCAACGTTTCGACTCCTGAAAGGGTCTTTGTCAAGCTTGACAAAGACCCTTTCAGTGGTTGAAACATTGCAGTGTCTCACTTGTCCCAAGAAAACCTTTTAATATACTTAGAGTGCCTGGATCATCTTTCTACTACTGATATCTACTCCCAGGGGCTGGTGCTGGCCCTTGGTCCAGTTTAGCACCTCGCTCTTCACGTTATTGGAGTGTGATTCGTGTTTTCTCTTTTTGTTATTCCATTGCAGGGCTCTTTGATCCATTCATGAGCAAGTCTGTAGCCCTGATACAGCTTTGTGCCAGCTGGACATGCCCCCTTTCTTGCTCTACCCAGATCTCTTGGCATTGGGAGGAAGCATGACACTGTATCTCACTGGTGATGCTGTAAGCAAGCATGCCTGTAATAAGGAGGTGGTCTCCCTGACAAAGAGGCATGCCTGAAGTGCTTGCATGACCAGCTTACTGGCAGCCATGCCAATCAGCCTATTAGGAATAGCCAATGCACAAAGTTCTGCGGAAGCTCTCTTGTATCATTTAAATGATGCCATGAATTCAGTTTAGTGCACCCCCAAAGGATCGAAGATTAGTGGGCACTTTTCTTTGGTGATCCCAGAAGCAGGCCACAAGAGCTCAGTCCTGGGCAGCAGGACCGGTATCCTCACACTGTCATGAGCCCTGGACTGCTGGATAATATAGTGTAGGTAAAGCGGCAATCTAAGTACCGTAACCCACGGCGGACTTTAGTAGTTATGATACAAGGAGTCCCACAGTACGTAGTCTAGCCACTTTCAGACAATTTGACACTTCTGGGCACACATTCCTGCTTTCCATCCAGATACAGCTATGGTGGATGTTCCTGTTCTGAATTCGGTGTATACCCTTTTTTTGTCACTAATCGGGCTGAACTGATATATCCAATGCAGATTTAGGCACTTCTACTCTAGTGATATCTGAATAATTGGATAGACCATGCGCTCCTAGGAGTCAGGTAAGTGTAAAACTATTAGAAAAAGGTTCAACCACTTACTGTAGGACAGAGACAAGGGACTCTTGGTATCAGAATTTATAAACCAATTGTAGTGGTTATAGTACTTGTTGGCCCCTTCTCTCCTGACTCCTAAAGGAACATGACTTTCATGTATCGATTCATATAGTGATTTTTGTGTGTGTGCATTGGTAACTACTACTTG